AATTTTTCCGTATTAAAAACAACCCCTTCAAAGAATTTTATAAGTATCACAATTCCAGGGATCATTTCCGAGGAATCGGGTATACAAATTTTCTGAAAATCGAGATTGCCCTGGACAAAATTAATAATAATAATAATAATCAATTAAACACTTTATTATATTTTTTTTATTTTTGGCGACAAAATCTTAAAAGTTTTTAATTGTTTTAAAACAATCGATTATTAATTATACCAAAAAAACAAACAAGCATTTTTTTCTTAAAAAGTATATTATTAATAACGTCATTAAATCGAAAAATTCCTAAAAAAAAAACAACCTTTTCTTTTTTTTTTTTTTACCTTCCCTTTTTCCTCCCCCCGTGGTTTTTGATCGGAATATCATAGCGTAAGACAACCAACCAACAAACGACAACAATCATCAAATCATCCACGTCATCTACTTTATTTTTTTCATTTATTTTTTTTACCTCAAAGAAGGAAACCAAAAAGAAAAAAATACAAACGTGAATAAAAACGTCTCATTATATTTTTTTTAGGGGGGTCATGTTGAATTTTTATCGATTGCTCACGATATTCAAGTTTTTTTTTTTTCTCATGACTCGTTTAAATATTTTAACTGACATTTTTTCTACTCATTTTTATATTAAAAAAAAAAGGCAACCAATTATCTAAATATTTATTTTGTAAAAAAAAATAACAAATAACATTTAAATATTATAAACTAAATAAAAATGATAATAAAAATACAAATAACGTAATTAACCGATTTGTAGTTAAATTATAATTTTTTACATTATCCGTTTTTTAAAATAATAATAATTCTTTTATTAATTCATTCAATCAATCAATCATTCATTCATTCATAGATTTATTTTATAATAAAAATAATTATGAGGGAATTTATTAATAAAATGAAGAAAAAAAAATTACTTTTCAAAGGAAACCAATAAAAAAAACAATTAAATGAGGAGGGGAGAGGGAGAAAAAAATGAAGGGAAGTAATTAATCAATCATTAAAAGAAAAAAAAAATTTTTTTTGTAAGATGATGATAACAACAACAAACGGAATAAATGATTAAAAGGAAAAATTTCGTCAAAGGAAACGTCATCAAAGGAAACATCATCAAAATAAAAAAGAAGGTGAAAGAAAGATATATATGAATTTAAAAAATTGTTTTTTTTTTTTTTCTAATTTAATTTCGTGCCAAAGGAAACGTTTTTTTTTTTTTGTTTCTTTTAACACCTCAAAATTAATAAGTTTGATTGTTTGTTTGTTTGTTCGTTTTTTTTTATATATAACGTGTGGCGGTTACGTGTGTACGTAAAAAACAAAATAAAATCGGTAGCAAATCAAGTCTTAATGTTGTACCTGATATTATGAGGGGTTGTTGTTGTTGTGAAAATGTTTTTAACCCCCCGCGGGGAGACACGTGCGTGCAGACGATATTTTTTTAATTATAATTATGTTTCAAAAGGAGGATAAAAGGAAAAAAGGAAAAATTAAAAATTCGTTAACTACGTTATTATTATTACTTATTTTTACGATTGTAGAATTTTGATAATTATTAATTTAATTTTTATTAAAAAAAAAAAAAATGAAAAGAAAATTTTGTCGTGTTTTTCACGTAGCACTAAAAAAGAAAGAAGGTAGAAAGGAAGGACAAAAGGAAAAAGGAGAAAACGTAAGAAAATTTTATTGTTTTAATATTGTTCAAAGGAACAAAGGAAACATAAAGAATAATTTAATATAATAATAATATTCGTTTAATTAACTAAAGAAAATTCGTTGATGAACTAATAATAAGTATAAAGAATTATTATTATTAGATAAAAATTTAATTTTTTTTTTGTTCCTTTTTTAAAAAAGGAATGAAATCAATGGAAAAAAAAAAACTTTTTTATATTTTCTTTTGACCTAATAAGAATGACGAAAACAAGGAAAAAAAATAATAATAACGACAAATATTTTGTTTTTTTCGGAAATCAAATCGAAATAAATTTTGATGATGAAATTAAAATGAAATTCGGCATATTACCCCGCCTCTTCCGCCACTGCCACCGCCACCGCCGCCGCCGTCGAATCCTCCAAACCGCCACTTATCCGAATTATTTTTTTTATTTTTATTTTTTTTTAGAGTCCTTAAAATGAGTTTTCAAAACAAGAATTTAATTTTCAAAGTTTTTGGCGTCGTCTGACATTGTCGCGAAATGCCACAATATGAAAAAAAAAAAAAAAAAAAAAAACTTTCTCCTTCGTTTTTACCACTCCCTCATTTTCCTCCCTCCCCACCTTTTTTTCTTTTTCATCCACGACCTCCTTCTTTCCCACTTTTTTTTTCTTTTTCTTTTTCAGGATCCACAAGTTTGAAATTTCAAAAAGTGGTTTTCTTTAAAACTTTCGAGTGCCAACTTTTTTTCTCTCCCTCTCTTTCTTTGCAACTTTTTTTTTTTTTTTGGTTTTCTTTTCTATTTTTTTTTCCTCTTCCTCTATCTCTTTCTCACTCATCCTCACTACTTTATTCTTTCGAGCTTAAACTTTTTTTTTTTCTTTTCCGTTTTGATTTTGCTTCTTTAATTTTTTTTGGCAGCATAGAAAAAAAAAAACTTTTCTGGATAATTTTTTTTTTATTTTTTTTTATTTTATCCTGTTATCATTAAAATTTTTTTTATTTTATTTATGAAAAGTCGTAATCGAGTTATGATTTCCATTAATAAATAAATAAATAAATAATTTTAAAAAAAACAATTAAAGAAATTTATTTTCAATACGAGTAAAGTTCTTCTAATAAAATTAATAATTCAATTTAACAAAAAAAAATTTTTTTTTACTTTTTCAAATCATTTTTGAGAAACGTAAGAAAAATGACGAAACATTGATAAAATCAATACGTCAATAAGTTTTCTTATAATAAAAAAAAAATTGTTTTTTCGGGATCAATCTTTTTTTTTACGCGATTTTTTCTCATCTTGCAAAAACAAACCGCCGAATGTTTTTAAAATTTTCTTTCTTGTGAATCATTACGCGCACGCACACACACAGGCACATCAATACAATTAAGTCGAATGGAAAACGTTTACATAAATTTTTAACCCGAAAAAAATCTATCTGTCTATCTATCTCGTTATGTAGTCAAAATTCATATATTTTATTAAATTACACCCGTTATGTTTTTTTTTTTTTTAGTTATACAACATTAACTCAACGTTAATTGATTTTTATTTGTTTATTTATTTAAACAAAAAACAATATGAAAATTATTATTAAACGTTAATAAAAATAAAAAAAACATTTAAAATTATTATTATTATTATTATTATTATTATTATTATTATTATTATTATTATAAATAAATTTTTTTTTTTTAAGGGGGGAATAAAATTCTAATAATGATTTTGTTGATTTTAAGTACGAAACGTAACGTATAATTTATTTGTTAAAATTACTTGTATTATCCTCGTATAATGTTTCAGGTACGGTTCGGTCACGTAACTAAAAAAAAAAACCATAATTATTTAATACAACAAACAACAACCAAGGGAAAGACGATAACGTATCAGCATTTTTTTTTTTTTTTTAATATAAATTGCGAAACTTTTTCAAAATTACTTTGATCTCTTATTAAATTTTTTTTTTCTTTTTTTTTGAAATTTATCGAAATTTCTTATTATTATTATTTTTTTTAATATAAAAAATTTTAAATTTTTTTTTAAAATGAACGTTACCAACTCATGAAAAACAAAGAAAAAAATTTAAAAAAAAAAAAGTTTTTTCGTATTTTTTTTGTTATCTTGGCGTAAACGTTGCGAACTTTTTTTGTTATTTTCGTTATTTTAATTTTTTTTTTAAATAAAATTTTTTTTTGGTATTAATTATCATTTGTTTTATTACTCTATGACTTTAAAACAAAAACAGGTACCAACTCGAATTAGGTACACGATCGAGACGTACACGAAACGAGAGATATATTTAAAATATTTTTGTTGAACTTTAATTTTTTTTTTTTTTTAAATTATTACAGAGTCTAGAATTTTATTATTATTATTATTATTATTATTATTATTTAATTTTTAAAATTTGTAGTCTGCTAAGATTAGAGAAATAATTTTTTTTTTAACTTTATATAAAATTAATCGGTGAAAGGTTAGTTAGTTAAGAAAAAAAAAAAAAGTTATTTCTTAATCTTTTGTTTGTTTTATTTTTTTTTCGCATCAATTTAATTAGTTTTGTTGTTTGTTGTTGTTGTTGTTTGTTTTTATACGTTAAATTAATTAGTTTACGTATAAAATTTTTTTTTTTTTTAAAATTAAATAATTTTTACGTGACGTATAAATAAAAAAGAAAATTATTACCTGTTCGAGTAGTAGTAATTTTTTTTTTCCTCGGTTTCAACGATGGTTAATTTTTTTTTTATTTCATATATTTTTATACGTTGTTGTTTGTTGTTGTTTGAAGTAATTAAATGGGGGGTAAAGAGAAAAAAAAATAACCGCGCATATCGGAAAAGTAAGAAAGAAAGAAAAAAAAAATGAAATGGCGGTTCAGTCAGGGTCTTATGTTGACCATGTTGGGGTCACTAACCAACCGTAGAATTACACAGGCCGAATGTAATCCATCAGAGACAGAATCTCAACCACATGTAATTATGTTTTTTTTTTCTTCAACGTATGCTATTATTATTATTATTACTATGTTGGTATAATTAATTATTATTTAATTATTTGTGCACTTTTGGCATTCTTTTTTTTTCTCAGAACTTTACTTAATTTGCTGCGCCTTTTTTATTTTTTTACCACTCAATGATCTATTGTTAAGTGATACATACCATCGCTAATTTTTTGTACTTTCCTCTCTCTCTCTCTTTCTCTCTCACACAACAGCATTCCATTTCGATTGGATAAAAATAAACGAGGTTGCGAGGTTCTCTGTTTGTAAACAAAAAACGCGTTAGTACAAATCAAAAGCAAAAATAACTTAAGTAAAAAAAAACGAGACGAGATAAAATGCAACAACAACAACAACAACAAAACCACGTGAAAGATGAAAAATTAAAACATCACATTTTGACATACCTGATGGAAGAAAAAAAAAGAAAGAAAATTCGAAAAGATGAACCGATACAAAAGGTAATAACAACAAACATTCGAATAAAAAAAAAAAAAAAAAAACAATTTTTCTCTCTCTCTATCTCTCTCTTTTAGATGATACAGCTGATGGATCGTTTAATTAAAGTTAAAAAAAATATATATATATATATAAAGAAAAAAAAAATTTCAAAGTTGGTAGCTCGTTAAGGTTTTAGAAGTGACAGGTACAGACAAGATGGCACGGGATGTTTTTTTTTTTTTTCTCTTTAAAAAAAAAAATTTTTTTTTTTTTATCTTCTGTGAGTTAAACATGAGGTTGTTAATCACCCGATTAAAAAACCAACAAACTAGAACAAACCTACCAATTACAACTGACATTGTTTTTTTTTTTTATTCTCTTCCTCTTCTCTTCTCTTCTTTTTCTTACGCTATAAATGATTTCCTCGGGTTTGTTTTTTTTTTTTTTTTTTTAATAAAAACCGGTACAGGTACGTTCTCGTATTTTGCAATTTAACTCGAAGGCAAATATTTTCAGTTTTTTTTTTTTATACTCTCGTAAAAAAAAAAAAATTTTTTAACAACAAAAAGTGCATGAGGGGTTTAACTATATTAAACTTGTTTGTTAGTTTTTTTCTTTTGTTAATGTTGTTGTTACAATTGCAAAACGTTAAACCACCATTATGGATTCATCCATCGAATTAAAAATAACAATTCGTTATTAACTTTATTTAAAAATCATTATTATTTTTATTATTATTATTATTATTATTATTATTATTATTATTATTATCGTTTTGTTACAAAAAAATTTTATACCTGAACCTCCGTTTAATTTTTTTTTTAATAAATTAAAAAAAAACGATTTATAACAATTTGTTTTAAATTTAATTTTTTTTCTTGCATTAATTAATTACACTCATTTAAAAAAAAATAATAATCGTAAAATTTCTTTAAAAACAAACGACGACGACGACAACCACAACAACAACAACAATAACCGCAATTATTTTTTTTTTTTATTAAATATAAAAAAAAACCCCTGATGTAACCCTTATAAAAGAAAAAAATTCGAAATCGTTTAAAATTTAATTAATTTTATTATTCAACATTCACAACCTTAACAACAATCAACCTTAAGTTAGACAAACAAACAAACAAACAAACGACAAACGGCTCCAACATAAAAATAATAATTAAAAATAATTATACACTCCGACGCGACGGATTACAACAAATGCTTTTAAATTTTTTTTTTTTTTTTATTTCTGATTTTATATTAAGATTAATCAAATGTTTTTTTAACAAGACATTTAAAATAATTAAAGTTCAATAAATAGTCATTATCATCATCATCATCATCATCATCATCATCGCTATTGCCAACCATTAAAAAAAAAAAAAAAAAAAAGAAAATTAATAATTCATTACATTAGTGAATACGACTGATTACTTTCAAATGATTTTCATAAGAAATTTCTACTTTGGCCTTTTTCCCCCCCACTCCCACCTTCTCCCCCCTCAACTCTCCTCCCCTCCCCTCTCATCTTCTCATCTATTTCATCATCTTTTTTTTCTACTCTTCACCTTTCTTTCATTTTTTACTTTTTTTTGTTCTTGATGATTTTGTAAATAATAGAAGAGAAAAAAAATTTTTTTGTTTAATGTTCTTTGTTATGTTTACGATCCGCGTCGGTGTGTGTGTGTGTGTGTGTGTATGTTTTAAATACAAAGAGAAAGTGAATGAAGGTAATAAATTACCGAGACTCAGGTAAGAAGAAAAAGAAGAAGACAATTATAATTCGAAGATAATTAACGAAACCCTCGTAATGACGACGATGATGATGATGATAATTATAAACAATGTTTAACTTATGGTAATTATTACGCAATTTTTAAATACGTTATAAAGACGTCAAAAAATAAAAAGATACGTATTTTAAATATGTAATTATTTGCCAAAGAATGAATATGCACATTTTTTTTTTTTTGTTTTTAACCGAACCTTTTATCATATATATATATATAAAAAGTTTTCATTCATTCATTTCCTTTTCCGTTTAACGCGCGCTTTTTTTCGAAACTCGTTACTATACGATTTAAAAATTCGATTTTCTTTTTTTCTGTTTGTTTGCAATCGAGTTATTATTAACATAAGGCAAAAAGGTTTTCGAAAAAAAAAAGTTCGAGTTAAAAACGTGACCGGAAAAAAAAACAAAATGATTATTTTTACCCGGTTACGGTACTGTATAAACAAATAGCCGTGAGTGACGTTGGTTAGGCCCCTGTTATCAAAAAAAATTTATCTATGATGAGTGATTGGAATAATACATCTGCCCTCGGCATATACATGATTTTGATTTTGGTAGCAGACACGAAAACAAAATGGAAACTAAAAGAAAATTCGAAAAGATTGACTCTTCAATAATAATAATAATAATAATACCATAGAATAAATAAAACAAAATGGCGGCGGCGGTGGAAAAAAAATTGTTTTTTTAATTGTTTTAATTGGAAAAAAATATGTTAATATAAAAATAAAAAAATTTTTTATAAGAATAAATTAAAATGGCGGTTTCCTGGAGAAAAACGAGGTGGGTGGAGAAAACGATGAACAAAGGTCACGTGGGAAAATAATAATACTAATAATAATAATTATATTTAGAGAATTTTTTTGTTTTTTTTTTAATAAAAATTTAAAAAGTGATAATCATTGAAATATTTTATTACAAAACTGGAGAAGTTTTCCTTTTTTGAATTTTCCATACTTCTCCATAATTTTTTTTTTTTTCTCCATGAAAAACTTTTAATTCTTAATTTTAATTTTAATTTTTTTAACAAAATTTAATTTTTAATTTTTTTCAATTTTTAATTGATTAACTTTCAAAAAAAAAAATCATTAAGAGAAAAAAAAAAAAAAACTCAAACTCCTACGCAGGTGAAAATTCTTTTCAAGTTCAAAAGGTCAAAAATATTACTAAACGTTTTTTTTTTTACTCGTGTTTTCTTTTCTTTTTCCCTCTCCCTCTCCCCTCCCCCCGTTTCATTATTATTATTTATAATGATAAATTATTCAGGTAATTATGCCGCATAATTAAGTGATATAAATGCGAAAAATGGTTTTTTTCTTCTTCTTCTGGAAAACGTTTGTTTGTTTGTTCGTTATTTGGTTGTTAATGTTTGTTTATCGTTTCTTCCCTCTCTCCCGCTCTGTCTTTCTCTGCACATCTGCATCTCTTTTTCTATTTTCTTATCTCTTACTTCCTCTCTTCCTTTCCTCTCTTCTCTTTTCCATCTTATGTTTGTGTGTTAATGTCTCTCTCTCTCCCTCTTCCTGTACCTCTGTATCTCCCTTTCCATCTCTCACTCCCTCTTTTCTTTTTCTATATTATTCCCCCCCTCCCTGTCTCTCTCTTTTTTTCCCATCAACTTTAATGTTTATTACCTAACCTTAAAATATTTTCAAATTATTTATAAATTTATATTACTGTGACGAAACATCAATCGTCGAGTTTTTTTTAAAATTTCTCAACAAATTTTACTTTTTAAATATCGAAAATAATCGTGCATAATCGATTGTATCGATAAAATCGATATAAGTATTAAAAATTTTTTTTTTTCGATTTATTAATGCGTGAAAAAATTATTACGTAATATTTTTTATTTTAATTTTTCATTCCAGATTATGTAAAAAATTTAATTAAAAAAAAAAGAGTAACGATGATAACATTTTACAAAAACAAACAGATAAAAATAATAAAAAAAATTAAAAGTTATCGTACAAACGAACAAACAAAACAAAAACAAAACAAAAAAAAAAACGATTTTTCGAGTGTTAAGAAATGCGTGCAGCACCTGGAAAAAAATTTTTTTTTTTTAAATCAGATATAATCAGTGTTTATTACGTTCCAGAATTTAAAAAAAAAAATTTTCCAAAAACTAAAACAGACAAACAAACAAACGGAATTCATTTTAATAAACGTAAAAAAAAAAAAAATAATTATAAACAAATTAATAATAATAATTTCAGTGGGAATTTTTTTTTTTTTTAATAAATTTAATCATAATCGGTTTCCAGTTAATTCCATGATTACCGACTATGATGATAATGATAATGATTATTCGGCGTCTGGTTTTACTTGACTCTAAATTAGTTGATATTTTCAAATAAATTTTTATTTGTCTTACGATGAAAATTGAATGAAAATACATGACTCCAGTAAAATATGGAAGCCTCCAGCGAATTAAAAAAAAAAAAAAAGATTTTTTATTGATTTCACAAGAGCAGAAGAAGAAAAAAAAAATCTGATCAAGTTAATTTTAATAGCAGGAACAACAAAAACAAAAACAAAACAACTTGTTAAGAGAGAGAGTGGGGGGATGGAGGGAAAGACGGGAAAGGGGGGGAACTTTTTTTTCCGCGATATTTTAAAAAACCGAATATGACGTTCATCATCATCATCATTATCATCATCATAAAAAAAAAACACACAAATTATTTTTTTTTTTTTGCAAAATCGTTAAAAATTTTCGCTTACAAAATCAGCAAAAAAAAAAAAAAATTTACTGGAAAAGCAGATTCTTTATGAGATTTAGCGAGAAAAAAAAAATTTTTTTTTCGCCATTTTTTTCTCTCTCTCTCTCTCCCTCCCACTCTTTCTCCTTTTCCCCTTCCCCCCCCCCACACGCACACGCGTCACTTTTTTTTCCATTTCAAGTAAAAAATTTTTTTAATTTGTTTGTTGCGTTTGTTTTGCGGCGGCGGTTTAATAAAAAAAAAAATTTTTTTTTTTACTCGGATTAATAACAAAATATCATTTTTCATTTGTTTTGCGTAACTTTTACAAAAGTGTGACGTTACAATTTTTCTAGAATCACGACAAAAAAAAAAATGCAACAACATTTTTTTTTTTTATTAAAAGTTGTTTGTTAGGTAAAATGAAAATCAATCAGGTTTCAAAGATCCGATTTCTACTTCGGTAGCAAAAATCATCATTTTCAGGTACATGACATCCACACACACAATCTCATGTCCGTCGCGTAAAATTTTTTATTTTTATGGAAGAAAAAAAAATTTATATTTAATATTTTTTTCCTTTTTTTCATTCCGCCATTTTTATTTTAAACGTCATAAGTTAAAGATAATATAAGCAAGATAACAAAAAAAAAAAATTCAAGTTTACGCGGTTTTATATGCAACATGTCGACAAATTTTTTTTTTTTTTTTTGATTTACAGCAAATGTTTTTTATGCTAGCAAGTAAACAAATCATTAGCTGCCGTTTGCAATTTTTTTTTTTTACGTATTCCGCTATTTTTCTGCCAAAATAATAATAATAATAATTTTTCAAGGTTTTAATTCCCACAAAAACGAGACACGAAATAGGAGGAGTATCATCATTATTATTATTATTTAACAAACGTACGATGTTATTTTTGTTTTATTTTTTTTCCTTACATTTAATTTATTTATTTTTAAAATAAAAAAAATTAAAAGAAACGTTTGAGAAAGAAATCATAGAGTAAATAAACAACTGAATGAAAAATATAAACTTGACTACTATGGAAAAAAAAAAAAAACTTTCTGGAAGACCACTTCCAGAAAAAAAAAAATCAAGTTAACAACAACAACGGTAATTATCGGTTGGTCCTTTTAATTAAACGTGTAATTAATA